TGTTATTATGATTATCACCGTGCCACGACCACACTATCTCCTCCAACGCCGGTCGGACTTGTTCTTCATATAACCTATTATACTCCAAAGTATCTCCCGCCGATTTACATAACTCAACGACCGCAACCTCCGGCGCAACCTCGAAAACCTCCGCCGTCACCGCAATCTGTCCTTTCCTCCCTTCCGTTGTCCCCAACATCTTCACTTTAAAATCTTTAGTCCTCTTCACCTTCATGTTCATCTCTTTCCCTATCCTTTCAAGCTTCGCCATTATCTCCGACGCCGACCACCGTGACGTAAACATAGAGCTCTGCTTCCTTTTGTTCTCGAACAAACTCGACAAATCGAATCCTGATGACATCGAGGAGATGAATTCAAACGCGTTAAAGAACTTCGGCGAGACCGGTGTTGTTGTTGTTGTTGTTTCGTCTTCTACGTTCTGGTTCTCGAGCTCATCGATCTTGAAAGCGATCGGAGAGTTGAAATTTTTACGAAACCACGGTGTTCTCATAATCGCTGGTATCGAGATCCGTTTATTAGGATCAACAACTAAAAGCTTCGAAATCAATCTCTTAGACTCCGGTGAAAACCACGGCGGAAACTCAAACTCCGATTTGAAGATCTTCCGATACATTTTCATTACGTTCTCATCTTGAAACGGTAAAAAACCGGCGAGAAGAACGTACAAGATAACACCACACGACCAAATATCAGCTTTAGCTCCGTCGTAACCTTTCTTCCTCAAAACCTCCGGCGCAACATACGCCGGAGTTCCACACTGAGTATGAAGCAAACCGTCTTGTAAAATCTGTTCCGGTAAAGCAGAGAGACCGAAATCGGAAACCTTAAGATCACCGTTCTCGTCGACCAAGAGATTCTCCGGTTTTAGATCTCGGTGAGACACGCCTCTACTATGACAAAAATCAACGGCTGAGATTAATTGTTGAAAGTACTTACGAGCAGAGTCTTCTTTAAGCTTTCCTTTAACAATCTTGGAGAAAAGTTCACCGCCTTTAACGTATTCCATAATGAAGAAGATCTTTGTTTTTGTTGCCATGACTTCTTTTAATTCGACGATGTTTGGATGACGAACAAGTCTCATGATTGAGATCTCTCGTTTGATTTGTTCCATCATACCTTCACGTTTGATAACTTGATCTTTGTTGATGATTTTGATTGCAACGCTTTCTCCGGTTGTTATCTCTTTCCCGTAATAGACTTTTGCGAATGTTCCTTTGCCTAGTAACCTTCCCATCTCGTATTTCCCGAACAGAACTCGAAGTTGTTGTTGTTCTTCCTCCATCTTAGGGGCCAATTGGTAACGACTGTGGCTGTAGAGAAAATGGATGAGTGATTTAGGAGTTTAAGTTTGGATCCCATGAGTATATACAGAAGAAGAATGATTTCATATTGAGTACATACAACATACCAATATGAAAGAGAGATTGGTGATGAATGATGAAGAAGCTTGAAAGGACTTATAAGGAAGTTTTTTGAGACGGTCACTTGTAAATTTATTCTGTGGGTTAATTAAGAGATACTAGTCAAGACGAAAGAGACTCTTATCAATTGCTGCGGTTTAGAGATGCAAGTTTTTATATGGGATAATGGGTTGTTCTTTTTTCTATGGGTATCATTGGTAACATGAGTTTATGAGTTACCATATATCTATTATTTAAGTCTTCTTTTTAAAGCTGTTTTAAATTTACAGTAAATATTAGTATTACAGTATTAAATGAATTTTAATGTCACTCTTTCGGTTACACTATTCTGCATTGAAATTTTATTAAATTAATCTCAAATATAGATAATTAAATTTTATTGATGCATTGAGTTTTTCTAGTAGGATTTTCTGAAAAAATAAATCCTCCAAGTAGCCATTTTTTTTTGTGATTTAACCCTTTATTTCTAAAATTTCAAATCACTTAGATTTTTGAACTTCAAAAAAGATAGATTTGTAATCCTTCTTGAGAGAACTTCGATTTGCTGTATTATTTATCACAATAAGGTGATTACGTCGGGTTATATTGCGTATTATTTTTGATTTTGTATGATTAATCTATATAATTGTTTTTAGAAATAGAAGGTAAAATTGCAAAACGGCAATTAGGAGAATTTTTTTTTTGCAGAAATCTTCTTCTGTTATTATTATTTATACATGTTAATGTTAATAGGAATTGTAAGTTTGTAACTTCCCCTCATCTTTCACCCTATAATCAGACTTAACATGGTTGGGCAAATGATGCAATCGTCTAGAGCCTACCTTAATTTGGATTATTTATTAATTTTTAAAAATATCATTTTCAATAACAGTTGTGTATATTTAATAAAACAAATACTTATAAGGGTCCAAGTTTTTTAAGGAAAACTTATTCATTTGTAACAATAGTCCAAAGATTTTGGTGAAAGAGATTAGTGTTGTTGACTGAAATTTCGAATAAAAATAAATGATGATGACACAATGGTAGTATTGGTTTGTAGCTATAGTTGGAGAAGATATTTCTCGCTCGAATAATTAAATTTTTGTCATTAGCTCCAAGTATATAAAAAATAAATAACACTAATGACACAAATAATGCCTGTGATATTCATGCACCTATATATTAAAGTTTTTATGTCGACGGGAAAGGACACGATATGGAAGTCAATTTCGTCATGTTGTTTTGGATCTTTGTTTTTGAGGCTAAAGAATTGATCTGTAATGATGTTGATTGATTTATTAATACTAAACACGATAAGTGTATATACAAGTAGAAACCCCCACAATTTTTAGCTGGTTCATTTCACTAGTATCATTTTGTTAATTGTGTTATTTGTATTATATTTATACTAATCGATCAAGTAACTTTTTTTTTTTCTCTTAAGTTGTTTGGAAGAAACTGTTTTTTCATACTTCAAGCAGAGCCGTTCCTAGGATTGTATGGACCAGAAGCGATGTTTAGAAAAAAGCCTTAATTCAAATATATATATTAAAAAAAAAACTTTAAAGTAATAGCCAACATAATCCAAATAAATAGAAAGAGTAAAAACCCGAATACTAATTCTAAAACGCAATTTTTCTTCGCTTTTGTGTTACAAAATCATTAACCAAGTTACGTAATTTGTCCAAAACAAAAATTGTTAGTTAATACTAGAAAATTCATGTTCCTCTGCTTCAATTTTGTAAACGTTTTAGCACTACAATCTCAATTCTAAACATTATGTTGCGTACCTAATCCAAACCAAATCCCAAATCAAATATGAAATATTGAAATCCCTATCTAAAATCTATTAGAAAGAAAACTATAATACTAGAGAAATTTACTTGTGACGGATTGTTGATGGCAACCAATAAAGAAAAAGAAAAAAAAAACTTAAAAGTCAGAAGTGGCAGGGCAAAAAACTTGAAAAAAATGTGAAAGGTTAGTCTACTAGTTGCCCTAATTTGTTTTAATTTTAGTTTCTAATTTACTTCACAATATATGTTTAAATCCAATTTATTAAAAGCATCGTGACTCTCTTCTTTCTTGTAACAACATAAACAATGTTTTTTATTTGGATCTAATATAATTAATAAACAAGAAAATTAAGGCCTTAAATTTTTTGTCTAAAATAATGGGCCAGAAGCCAATGTTTATTTTTAATGTACATAGCCACGGGCCTGACTTCAAGTCAATAGATATATATTCAATTGATACATCAAATATACTTAAGTGCAAAACTATACTCCAACTAAGCAAAAAATCAAATTCACTATTTAATCTTACCGTTTCGTACAAAATAATGCATATTCCGAGAGGTTGTTAACATTCTATCTACATTATGATATCTTGATAATCATCAATTTTCGATTTGTAACTGAGCAATTTAATAAGCACTACACACAACAAATACTGATGACTAAACATGTACCAAAACTTCAGAGAACTTTGAATCCACTTGAAGAGTATATTTGCATATTCAAGAACTTACATAAACTAAGGAAACACTACATACATAGATTTTGTTTTTGAGTTAACTACATGAACTAGTAAAAATTTACAAGACATATCTGGACATATTATACAATGGCCACTAGAAACATAAACAACTTACACAAATCAAATATATTTATAGAAAGATCTTAAAACATCTTTTAAAAAAATTTAGCTTAAGAGATACTAAAATTTTTGGAAAAAAATACAAAAACATTACAAACTTAAAGTTTCTGATGAATCTAAAAAAAAAATTAGTTAGAGTTTCTTAATCATCTAGGGGTGTATTACATTAAGGATTTTGATTAGTTTGGTGGATTTTAGAATTGGTGGGCTTCTTAATGAAGTTCAAAGATATTTTAATGATAATAAAAGGCTTTTAGATTAAGTGGGCTCTTATAATCTTCAAAGATATTCTAATGATAATAAAAGGCTTTTAGATTGAGTGGACTCTTATATGCAACTGTTCTCCCACCAGTCAACTTCAATTGTCACCCACCATTTTTTTTGCATTCATCATGCAATTTTTGTTTTACTTGCTTACACTACTACTTCTTCTGTCCAAAAGCTATAAAGATTCAATTATAGACTCAAACCCGACATTATGACTATAAACAGCAAATACATATGTTAATTAATAAACTAAAGTTTTTTTTTAAAAAAAATTATAAAGGAATTTTTTTTTTTTTTTTTTTTTTTTCACTAAAAAAAAAAAAATTATAAAGGAATAAATGCATAAAAACTAGAATTTTTGAAGCGCAGCTAAAGCATAAACTTTTACTCATTATGCTCTTGTTTCACACATTAAGTCACTAAACCACACTTATATTATTGATTGTTTATTATACTTATACACCATATATTTTGCTGCCACGATTCAAACTTTTGATACACATGTATTCAAACGAGTATACATTACATTATCTTGAAAAATGTTGGCATTATTCGTTTGTGTGGACACAAATATTATTCTTTATTAAATAAACTTATCATGAAGCATTCCATGCTACCCTCATCATTGTGACTGATTTTTGTGATCGATTGACAAAGAAAGACTCGGAAAAAAAAATTTCTGATTTTCCATCCGCACATTTTTTGAATCGTCACAATTATTGCTCAAAGTAAACAAAAACAAAAAATACCCACAAAACGAAATATAATTAATATCCCTCCTACCCATATCTCCTTCTATCCATCTCTCCCTCTCTCATTCTTCGGCACAAAGCATAAGACTTGAAGGTAATCCTACCGATCTCGGCCTCTCTGATGTTTCAATTGTAGAAGAAACTCTTAAATTCTCGAATACTTCTAACTATATGTGTTCTTTCCTTGTTCGAATGTTGCATGTACCTTGATCGTGTTGAAAATTTAGGATTCTTCATAGGTTGCCTATTTACGACACAATGGTGATGCTTTGGTGGTTTTAGTTTATTTTCATCTATGGGTGATTGATTACAAAAACTTGAAGACTCTAGAAAATTTTTCTTCTTTTAAGTCAAACATTTTAAAATAAGAATATATTGCCCCAATCCCAACTAATGAAACCCATACTCTTTTTCTTTTTTCTTTTTGGGGTTAAATGATCCACTAAGCATGCTATATATATATATATATATATATATTCATATTTCTTTTAGGATTGTCAACTATCAATTGATCCAACTTGAAATTAATTTACTTTGTATATCCTATCCCTTTTTTGTGTAGGAAGCAAAATGAGTTTGTGGTATATCATTGTTGCCTTCGTCTTCTTTTCTTCTATAATCATTGTAAGGAACACGAGAACGACAAAGACGAATCTACCTCCTGGACCACCAAGACTTCCTATAATTGGTAACTTACACCAATTGGGATCCAAACCTCATCGCTCGATGTTCAAATTATCCGAAAAGTATGGATCGTTAATGTCTTTGAAGTTTGGGAATGTGTCTACTGTTGTGGCATCTACACCAGAGACAGTGAAGGAAGTCTTAAAAACATTTGACGTAGAATGTTGTTCGCGACCATATATGACTTATCCTGCAAGATTTACATACAATTTAAAAGATCTCGGCTTTTCTCCCTATAGCACATATTGGAGGGAGGTACGAAAGATGACTGTTGTTGAACTCTACACCGCAAAAAGAGTGAAATCATTTCAACACACAAGAAAAGAAGAAGTTGCTTCCCTCGTTGATTTCATCAAACAAGCTGCGTCATTGGAGAAATCGGTTAACTTGAACAATAAGTTAATGAAACTAGCAGGAAGTGTGATTTGTAGAGTTGCATTTGGTATCAATCTTAAAGGAAGTAAACTTGAGAATACTTATGAGGAAGTAATTCAAGGAACAATGGAGGTTGTGGGGAGTTTCGCAGCAGCAGATTACTTCCCGGTCATTGGTACAATCATCGATAGGATCACAGGGTTACATAGCAAATGTGAGAAGATTTTTAAGGCAATGGATGCATTTTTTGATCAATCTATAAAGCATCACCTAGAAGATGAGAGTATTAAAGATGATATCACTGCCTTGCTCCTCAAGATGGAAAGGGGGGAGACTGGGCTTGGGGAGTTTCAACTTACTCGAGACCACACCAAAGGAATTCTTTTCGTAAGTAATGTGAACCTCTCAATCCATATACACCTTCATTCTTCACATGTTGCATAAAGTTTAAAAATATGTACTGACTTTGATTATTACAGAATATTCTCAATGCTGGAATAGACACTTCTGCACAAGTTATGACATGGGTGATGACCTATTTGATTGCAAACCCAAGAGTTTTGAAGAAAGTGCAAGCCGAGGTGAGAGAAGTGATAAAAAACAAAGACGAAATCATAGAAGAAGTTATAGAACGACTCGAATATCTAAAAATGGTAATTAGAGAAACGTTTAGGGTATTACCGCTCGTGCCACTTCTAATTCCAAGAGAGGCTTCAAAAAATTTAAAGATCGGAGGTTATGACATTCCCAAGAAAACATGGATCCATGTCAACATATGGGCTATTCATAGGAATCCAAACGTTTGGAAAGATCCAGAAACTTTCATCCCGGAGAGATTTATGGATCGCCAGATTGACTATAAAGGTTTGAACTTTGAGCTGTTGCCGTTTGGTAGTGGAAGGAGAATGTGCCCTGGTATAGGAATGGGTATGGCTTTGGCACATTTGACATCAATCTTCTTTACCGATTTGATTGGAGGCTTCCGGAAGGCATGGAGGTAGAAGATATTGACCTTGAAGAATCATATGGACTTGTATGTCCTAAGAAAGTCCCACTAGAGCTTATCCCGGTCCTTACTCAATGGACTTGATTTTATATTTTCATAGTTTAAAATGTAACCCTTTGGAAGTATCTTAAAGGTATTATCATTTTCATTTATAAGGAACTTGTTTGATGCATCAACTTTTAGCTCATTTTCTTTGGTAGCTTAACCTCAACTTTTAATAAACATTGCTACATTTTTAAACTAGTCTAAATTAATGTGGTTAGGGATTCTCTCGTTATATGGCAAATATGAGACATTCCCTTGGGGCGTTACTCTCCTAACTCATTAACAATGCCTATAAAAGTATACAAAATATTTTCAATTTAAAGAAAATACACAAATCAGAATTTTGTTCATTTTAATTCTCAAAATAAACACAATGACACATCTTGTTAACGTACATTAAAAATGGTTGAACCATGATTTTAAGTTTGGATTTCACGAGACGAATCTATACAAAGAGAGAACAAGAGATAATGAAAGAGAGAGTGGTGATAACTGATGAAGCTTGAAGGTGGGTTCAGTTATAAGAAACGAAGCAAAGGACATAGAGGAAGTTTGAGATTTGATGGATTGATAATTAAGATATTACTTGGAGAAAAGAGACTCTCATCAACCAGTGATGCGGTTTAGAGATGAAAATTTCATATAGGTTTATTCTTTCTCGAAAAAAATCCTATAGATCTATATATTCACTTCACTTGTCTTGTAGAGTAAAATTTAAGATATCTTTAGAACCAAAATAAACAAATTATTTACTGACTAAGGAGAGTTTGATGAACCAAATTCTTGGTTTATTTGTCACAATTTCTCCTTCCCATACAACTGTGAAAAAAGACTATTACCTGCAAATTGTTACAGGCTTACAACACTACCTCACAACACATAATGTGTAAGATTGACGTCAATAATTTGTTAATAAGAGACTTTAAAATTTTAAATACTAAATGCAATAATAGTAGAAAGATCGAACAAAAGATTAAAGTGAGAATCAGAGCTTAACCGGACACAGTGCCATGTTAAGGCTAATTGTTGCTTAGAGCGAATAAAAAAATGTGGTCTTTATTACTAAAAAAAATCAAAATAACGAAAATATTGTTTCAAAGCATATACAATAGTGATAAAAGAAAATAAAACAAAATTTCTTAACCACTATTTTTCTATACTTTTTTCCTAAAAATCATGCACTAAAAACTCACATAATCGAGTTGTCGAACCAATTCCCTCTCTATAGATATGATAGCGTAAATAACCATTCACTATATTCAAATAATCATTCACTGTTTTTTTTTATTGGTTAGATGTCAATTGTCAAACTAAATTGAACTTGAAACACAATTGATTTATTGTTTTAAAACATATAAAGTCAAATATACTTGAGAAAGACAACACGAGCCAAGAGAAACACAAAAACTCTTATGAAATTGAAGCAAGAAAAGGTTTATGATTTTGAAGAAGACGACACACGGTCACACGATAGTTTAACCCTACAAGGCTACAACTAATTTTGTTTTTAATATTTTTATTTTTAAGTGGTCGATTGATAATTATTTGAAAAAGGAATACTAAAAATCAATTTTTTTTTTTCAAATTATCCTTTTCATTTAAATATGAAGATTATTCCAAAACAGATTTTCTTTATTCTTAGTTATCTTTAATTAAAATTATCTCCCATTAGTGTTATATTTATAAACTAAAGTCTAAAACATGTGCAGAAATTTCCTAATACATAACTTATACGTATTGATATTATTCTAGTGTCATGGGCTTCTAAAACAAGTACCCACTATACAACTTATATACATAAGCCTAAAAATAAATATGTGACCTACGAAATTCAAAAATTTTTTTGTGGCCATGGGTAAATGCCCTTTCCTCTTCCCATTAAGCACAAATGGCGGACCCATAAAAAATATTTACCAAGGTCATATATAAATATGAAACTATATTATTTAGTATATCGCATAATAATATTATTCAAGTACAATGAATCTCGAAAAAATATTAATTGTGGTTTTCAATACTTTTCGACCAACAAAATAAAAGAAATAAATTATCTAAAGGTGTCAAACTGGGGAATCGAACATGGTTACTGGGGTGTCAATGGGCATGCAATTACCAAATCTACTGGTTGTTTTTTAAGTACTCTTATACATAAACACAAATATAATTATTTTACCCATGTCACTTGACCCTCCTTTCCCTTGAATGGGTCCGCCCGTGACAACACTGACCGGACATTAAAAGAAACATGAGACCAACGAATAGTCAAGATGAAGGACGGAGACAACCATGAGATCAATACGATGGAATCCGACGATGACGAGGCATGAAGGAGTTTTTATGTTGTATAAATGGGACATTTCATATTTTTAATATGTTTGAAGTCAGTCACTTCAAATTTCATGTTTAACTATATATGTCTATTTAAGAAAATAACAATATATATATATACACATATATATAAGTTTCACAAAATAGTTTTTCATAAGATGTTTTCTCAAATTGCTATATTCCTATTAGCATAATCTTTTCTATGAATTTTCATATAATTAATATAATCGTATAACGAGAGATTTAAAATTAAATTTTAAAAATTTCAAGTTCACTAACAATACAATTTGAGAAGACATCATTAGTGATTTGGAAGTCCTTTAACAAAAACAGATGATTAGTGATTTAAGCTACTGTCACAGATGTGTTACTATCCGAATTCAAAGTCGCATATTACATGGCAATAAACACATTTCAAATCATCACTTAAATAACATGAACTATAAAGAAAATATATATATACTCTTCATATTTGTAAATTTTAGATTTTAGTGGAAGTTTGGTAAAAGAACCTAAACTCAAACTATGGTATTTTGTTATTTCAAAATTTAAACATAAATCAATAAATAATTTCTCTAAGATTTTGAATTTTTGTAAATTTTATTTCATTGACACGAAATAGAATTTATTATACAATTGGTTTCCCACAAGGCCACAAGTCAACTTCAATCGTTTTTGTTACCCACCTTTTTTTGTAGCCATCTATCAGTTTTTGTTTTACTTGTTTTACATTACTTCTTCTGTCCACAAAAGATAAAGATGCAATTATTGGCTTGAAAATTTTAGTATTATTCGTTTGTGTGGACACGAATGCTATGCTAAATAAAATAAACTTATAATAAACACAATCATTATTGCTCAAAAAAAAGCAAATAGTCACAATTACACAACACAAAGTAAGAAGATAAAACAGAAAATTCTTCGGGGACAAATCTGTACCTCCATGTCTCCCTCTCTCTATCTCTCTAATTCTTCGGGGACAAAGCATAAGACTTAAAGGTAACTCTTATATTCTCCAAAATTCTTCAATCTTTTTAACTATGTGTTCTTTACTTGTTCGAATGTTGCATGTCTCTTGATCGTGTAAAGAAATTTAAGATTCTTCATAGGTTGCCTAATTATGACATAGTGATGATGTTTAGGTGGGTTTAGTTTATGGGGTTCTATATTTTTCATCTATAGGTGTTTGAGTACAAAAATTTTATGACTCCAGATAATTTACTTAACCGGTTGGCGCGTAAAAAAAGTCTCCTCATTTCAGCTTATTGATTCACGCAAAATGGAAAATGGGCTTCGATAAATTTGGTTCAACTCGCGAAACTGAATTCCTAGTACTCTTTTGATTCTATAAAACAATATTTGATTTAAGGTTTATTTTTGTTGAATAAATTTTTACATTTAAAAAAAATCAAATTCTTTTGAATCAAACTTAACACTCTCATATACAGCCATAAAGAATCTTTTAATTTTCTCGGAGCCCATTTGTTTTTGGTTTTTGAATTGTATTTTTTTTTTCTTTTTAAAGTCAAAATTAATGCAACAAACATTTTAAAATTATTAATTTATTGTCACAATCCCAACTAATGAACCCCATACATACTCTCTCTTTCTTTTTGGTATGATCCACTAAGCATGCTAATTATATTTCTTTTAGGATTGTCAAATATAAACTGAGTCAACCTGAAATTAATTTACATTGAATAATTATCCCTTTTCGTGTAGGAAGCAAAATGAGTTTGTGGATCATTGTAAGGAACACAAGAACGACAAAGAAAAATCAACCTCCCGAACAAGCGTTTGAACTCACTTTTGATACATGAACGTTAAATTAATTACAGATACACGAATATTCAAACGAACTTATATCACCTTATCTTGAAAAAGTTAGCATTATTGGTTTGTGGGACATCTATATTATGACTTATTGCAAAATGAACTTATCACGAAGAAGTTCCGTGCAAAATGATTGAAAACTCTAACAACAATAGATACTAGTTTTTCAATATATAAGAAAAGTTGCCGACCAAACAAATATATGGTGGTTCATTTGGGTTTAGATATCCGTTTAAAAAGTAAAAGAAAAATCCAATTATCCATCTCATTAATTTAATCCATTATCTCATACACAGATTTAGAATTAGAAATTGTATATCTTGACTATTCGATATCCGAAATCTTGATAAGGATCCGAATAAAAATCATGAATTGTTGGATCCGAATATCAGAATTTTAAAATTCGAATAAACCTATTTTTATATGGTGGATACATGTATTTTGAAGATTAAAAAGAAATTTTGATTTTTTATTATGTACTATGTGTAATCAATACAATAATAACACTAAGAATCTTTTCAGGTCTGACACATCAGTATTTTGGGCTTTTCTCATGTTGACACCTCATTAAAATCGTCGTCCAATGAAAACATTTCGATTAATACAACTCAACATGTTTCAGCCTATAAATAATTCTCTTTATGCCATGTCATTATATTTCAATTTGTTGGGCTTTATTGTTTGTAGAGAAGTGGGCTTAAAGAACCATAGCAAGATGTAATAATTTTCTTTTCTCCTATTAGGCGCGTGAGGATATATAAGTCTACCGAGAACAGTACTGCGACGGTAGTAGAGGCAGAAGCTGCAGAGGTTAAAATCAATGAAGAGGTTGTGAGTACATTGCAAAAAGCTTTTATTCTCCAATTAAGTCGAGATTGAAAAGGTTTTGATTTTTGAACGATCAAATTTTTTGATATTTTTTTACGACTAAACAGTTTGATTCTAATTATGATTATAAATTTTGTTGAAAGATCATAATAACAATGGTTCATGAAGAATTTTGAGATAGGGTTACCAATGTCAGAAAACATAACTTGATTTTAAGGTGATTTTTGATTGAATTTAAATTTGCTTAGATCTTCCACTTTGTTTTCGTGAATCCAGTCAAGCTGGGGATTTGATTTGACGATTTTGTCGACAACTTGATTGAGATGGAAGTTCAGTTGCAAGGAAGAAATAATTTGTGTGGGTAGTTATCTATTTCTTTTAAATGGTGGTTTGATGCTTATATTCTCTTGAAATTTTCAAATGTGTTTGTCTTTCTATTTCGATTGATTTGATCAAATTAGGTGATGGATCCATCAATTTTTACCCTTGTTTAGTAGCTTACCAATGTTTTTATAATTCGCTATATTTATATTTTCGTAAGGTTTTCTGACTCACTGATCTTTAAAATTTCATATTTCTTATGACACATGCATAAGAGGATCAGGAAGCTAACAACTTCAACACAGCCAAAAATCTTCAAATCTCGAGCAGCAAAAATTTCTCAAATTCACGCAATGAATATGAGAATGAAACTAGAGAAACCAAATCCTCAACAGAATCCGTCGCTTTATTAGAAGCTGAAAAAGGTCATGACTGAGAGCTCGAGTACATAACCAAGTTCATAGTCTCTGGCCAACTGATGATAAAAGAATTCTCCTTGGGGATAGCTACTGATATTACCTCTGAACTTTTTCGCTAAAATTGAAGGTAAGAGAGATGCCCAGAGTAAGATTGAGAGAAAAACACTGGTCGACTTTGTGCTTATCAAATGCGAGCAAATGTTCATGGGAAGCTATAGAGGATTGTTGGGGAGAGAAGTCATTTTTCTTGAAAGAAGAGAGATTTTGACAGAAGAAGTGAATAAAGAGGTTCACGGATTGAAGAAACCATGGTCCCAAGAGTTCGCTCATTACACACTTGCATCGAATTGGAATTAGATTTGAGAAAAACTTTTCAATCCCCAAAAATTCTATGTATAAGAAAAACACACATTTCAATTTTCTAGCTGAGATTGAACCTTAGGCTCGCCGAAGAAGAAGAAAACGATCAACGTTGTGACGGTGGATTGAAATTCATTGTTGTGGAGGTTCTCGGTTCTTTTTTTTCAATCTCTCGCTATCTCTCTTTCTTAATGAAGAGAAGAAGGATGTTCCAGTGGATTCAGAGGTTTGACTTTACTAAGCCAAACCGATATGGGCCATTCAAATCCAACAGAAACCTTGGGCCATTCGAAACCCATCACTTCTCAGTCATTAACGCCTGCAACAAGCATAAAAGCGACACACAAAATGTGTGTTCTAAGCAGTAAATGGTTTTGGTAGTCAGAAATTTAAACAAATTATATAATTAACCTCTTCATATGTATGTATTAAATTATTAAAAAAAAAAACCCCATTTTTTTTTTTGACAACTGATTTTATTAAATAACTGAAATGGGATTTACATAAGGTAAATCGGAGCCTATAACATCATATCAAAAGCCCAATTATAAACCCAAAACAGAGGTGTCAATGGAAAAACAAAGGTTAAAAACTCAACATTGGTGGATTAGATGGAATAAATGCAAATTGGATTTCTTATTGATTAAGAACATAAAATAATGTGTGATATCTAAAGAAAAGAATCTAACAGAGGTTGGGCAATTTTGAACACAATCGGCTCATGCGAGATACAGAGTGTATCTCACGGTAGCGAGAAAGATCAAATTTTCATTTGTGTTCATGATTAACTAATCTCATAAACATGTAGACATGTAGTGGAAGTAGAGTGGATAAAACACAATTAAGCAACTTCTTAAAAAAACGTTTTTAAAAAAGCCCCGCGGCATAGCCCGGGTTTCGCCCTAGTTTTTATAAATATACGAATGGCCTCCTTATTTTTGGGATTACGGAATGATATTACTATTCTTGTCCAAATCTTGCATTTGTCCTAAAATATATTACCTCAGAAAACGAGATCAAATGTAATAATTTCTAGAGGATAGCATGTGCTCAAGGTGCCAAAGAACATGGTTTTTTTTTTTTAAAAAATTTATTTAGATAAAAAGACCTTAAATCTATACTAGTATTTTCTCAGTTATTTTGGTGACGGATGGGTATAAATGTTTTCGGGTTATTTGGATACCCGACCTGTTTACAAATTTTGGTCATAAAAAGTTTGTTGGGTCGGATTATATTTAACACAACTCATACACCGGATATTTTCGCAGTCATTTTGGTGACAGATGGGTAAAAATGCTTCCGGGTTATTTGGAAACCCGATCCGTTTACAGATTTTGGTCACAAAAAGTTTGTTGGGTCGGGTTATATTTAACTCAACTCATACACCAGATATTCCATATTTAATAATTTAGATATTTAGAAGATTTGATTAAAATTTAGAATTATGATTCTCCTATCATCTTTGTTTGATTTGTTTTTAACTGTTTTGAATCATCATATAATACATAAAGTAAAAAAAAAATCATTTTTTTTCTGCATATACTATGATTCGAAATTTTAAAAACGGACATATATTATCCAGTTGACGAAAATGTGTGTTCAACGTTCTACATCGATTAAAATATTTAGACAATGATTCAGAATCATATCATAAATAAGATCAACATTAATAAAATAAATGAGTTATTTTGTCGGACGGGTTTGACGGAACGGGTTTTTGAATCAACAATAATAAAAAGATTAAAATATCATTAATCCGCCACTTCAATACGGATTAGATCCTTAATTTTTTAATACCACCAATATTAGACATATTAAATGAATCTCATTTAGAAAAGATTGTATAAAACCAAAAGTTGTCCCGTGGTATAATGTTACTTACTAACAATTGTAAACTATAAAATATAAATATCTTAGAAAATGATACAATTTGCAAACTTTTATATATAATAAATAATCGTTAAATTTTAAAAATTACTACTTTTAGAAAACAAATGACGGAACGGTTTAAGAAGTTACAAGACAGGTTATATTTCCGAACGAAGTTATATGGTGGGCGAGTTTGAATCAATATTTATAAAATTTTAAAATATCATTAACATGCCGCTTTAATACAGATTAAATCTTCAGTTTATTAAAATATAAATGACTTAGAGAATGATATGATTTGTAAACTTTTATATATAATAAATAATCATTAAATTTTATAATAAAAAAATCATAGGATGGGTTAAGAAATTACAGAACGGATTATATTTCGGAACGGGTTTATATAAATAACAATTGTAAACCAAATATTTATAAATATCATTAACATGCCGCTTAATACGGGTTAAATCCTCAGTTTATTAACAATTGTCTCGTGAACTCGTGGTATACGGTTACTTAATAACAATTGTAAACTATAATATAAATAAATATTTTATAAGGAGATACAATTTACAAAATACTTTTATATTAACTTTAAAAATAAATCATCCCGCGGTGTACCGCGGGTTAAAATCTAGTTTTAAAATATTAATAAGAAAAGGTCCATATTTTTGAATTTCTATGTAAGATAAGATTTGATTATTTATATTGGGCACAAAGTCTAATATAATTTTGAGACGGGCATGCTTATGTAATTGAAACGTCATATCACCGCCAAACCCTGTATAAATATGGAATTTTCACACAATAATTTCACAACACAAGTTAAAAAAAAAAAAAATCTCATCTCCACTTTTGATCTCTAAAATCTTCAGCACAAAATATAAGACTTGAAAGGTAACTAATCTTACCAAAATTGTTTATGTTTCAATGTTGTAGAATAAACTTTTAACTATATATTTGTGACTTGTTGCATGTACTTTGATCGTGTATAAAGAAATTATTTGGATGCTTCTTCTTCTTGTTTTGCCTTAATTAGGGTGCTTTGGTGCTTTAGACTTTCGAATTTTAGTTAGCGTGGTTCTGTATTTTCCATCTGATCCACATAACATTCTTTTTTTTTTTTGGGTTAACTGTCCACTTAGACTCCGAATGTCAGTCCGTTTTAATAACATTTAGTTTACTTATACAATATTTATATCCTATGTCATTACTCATTACTCATTAGATAATTATTTTCTAAATAATTACCGGTCTTAAAAAGTAAGTGATACAAGCATAATTGACTTCATATCTTAGTGGTTATTATTATTTTATTAAACCCACTTTGCAGAATATATATTTAAAAAATCATTTTTAATATGAAAAAAAAAACAAAAAATCTTGAAGAAAGTAAAATTCTTCAATTTCCATATTTTCTTATAGTTTAATTACTTTTCTATTTCTTCATATTTGTTTAAGTTCTTTTCTATTTCTTCAGACTTCTGGCAAATAATAATTATAAAATCGTTCTATTATTTTATTTTCAATTTTATTAATTTTTGTGATTTTATTTATTAAAATCTGTTTTTTTGGTGAGTATTTATTAAAATCTTTTTATAACTGTAACTCATCAAATATTAGTCATTTGCTTCCATTTGAAATTTAACAAATACATAATAAATAAATAACATTTTAAAAACTTGAATATATAATTTAAATACATAGTAGTAGTATTCATTCTAAAAGTATAAACACATGGTTAATAAAAATAAAATTTTTAATTATTACCTTTTTGAGTACTCAATTTCTCAAACAGAATAAATACATAGTAAATAAAACTTAGAAAACTTAATGTAATTGTTTCCGCGGACAACACTGGTAATCACCTGGTGCTACATATATATTATCTTAAAACTATCAAACATATATATATATATATATATATCTTATATATTAATAGAGAAGCACTCTAAAAAATAAACTTTACTTTTACGTGTTATTATCTAAACTGCCATGTTGACGTGTCGTTTTCAGAGTGATTTTCCATCCATTTAAATTATTACCCAAATTTTACTAGACTATTTACCGATTTTGCCATTAGTCTTAATACATACATATATCACACAAATAAAAAACGAAATCATAACTAAAAAACAAAAATTAGGCGACTAATTTACATATTTATATTTAACAACAATTCACGAGAGTTTTGTTTATTTATATTAATGATCTATTTTTTAATAATTAAAAAACATACACTTTTTGTTTATCTTATATTAATAAATCTTTATATTTATATTTTTCTTTATATATATTTATATAAATCTTCTCAAGCCGATGGGTAAACAATCTTTATATTTAATTTATATTTGTATTATGTTTATATATAAATAATAAAATATATACATTTAGTTCAAGAATCTCGAATTTAAAACTACAACATCTCTACATCTTTCATAAATTTATAAATCTATTGTACTAAAATACATAAGATAATCTTTTTTCAATATATGTTACGAATACTTAAAATCCGTTTTTTTGGAGGGATTCTAACTTTTCGAAAAAAAACCAACCACATTTATTTATAAACTAAAATTTGGCCCTATTATAACCATTTCGTAGTAATCCATTCATAATCTAAGAATCTTAATTTGAAATTCACTACAAAATCTTAACTTGAAAACTATCAAATCTCATCTTTGATAAATTTTTGGATTTCTTATACTTAAATCTCGACATCTTTTTTTTTTTTAATCATTCTCGACATCTTTAAAACATATAGAAAGGGATATTGGCATAAATGGTAATATTTCGTCAATACTTTCTTTATCACGTTGAAGCTTTATTTCAGGTTCAAATATTTCACGGGTAAAACGTATACATATACGAAATAGTCCCAAATTTGAATAAAAAAAAATAAAAAAAATTATTACATGTTTCGTTTTACACAAACGGATCTTGGATCCCAGATAAAAAATTTAATCATAATAATTTTACTTGAATAACTTCATCCCGCACATACTGCGGGTTGTTATCTAGTATATATATATATATATATATAATGTTTTTTTAACTAACAAATATATATTGAGCAAACTAGTAACTAATTGAGGTTTTGTATAAACTATCCGTTTTATGCAGGTTGCAAAATGAGTTTGTGGTATACCATTGTTGCATTCGTCTTCTTTGCATCTATACTTATTGCAAAGA